ATGAGGAGGATGTGGAACAAATGAAGTTCAACCAATGTCACATGGATGTGATGCTCTGCATGCAGAATTATGAAGAGTCGACAACCCTCTTCCATGATTATGGAAAGTAAGAGAATGATTAAAAAGAAGGGCCACGCTCACACAACCAGATAGCAAAGTGTCATCTTTGAACTGGAATTATGAGGAGGCTCCTGCATAAGCTGGACTGGCTGGCCACCGTACATCTTGGAAAAACTGTTCAGGGTTAAGGATGGGAAGGTATCCAGCCTCACCCTCTTCTCCTTGAGTGGAATAAAGAGTACCAACATCACTCAGGAGGAACAGACCTCTGGTCACCACTTCAGCAACTGGAAAATGAGAGTGGTAAGGACTCACTTGTTCCACTAGCAGAGGGGGGGTGTGTGCATTGGGGAGTTCTGAGAAATGATGCTCCAGAGACAGTGCCATAGCTGAACCACATTCCCTATTTTGAAAAGCAAACCAACCCCAATTTGTTCAAGTCAGGGGTTAGCAGGGATGGGCAAAGTCCTTTTATGTTTTACTCATAATAGTCCATGAGTGGAGGTCCAGTATTGTATATAATATTAGATATAGGACAATTGTTCACCAACCAGAAAGAGCCAAGGCAAATCTCCTTGCATAAACAGCAATGTCTGACAAAGGTGGAAGGACCAGGTATTCAGATGAACTAGTTTCTCCCATTAAAGGTGAAGAATCGTAAGCCACAAGAGAAATACTCAAAACAATACAATCATGATGCACTAGTTGTAAGAAGGATGCATGAGGTGGGATATCCATCCAAAGTTCAGAAATAGCTATCTGAGCAAAGGAACATGCTGGAAAAATAGAGTCTAAATTCTCTGCCCTTGATTTCCCACAAATATAGTAATAGTGCTGAAGAGAAACCTGCAATAAACACCTAAAACTGTCTTCGTCAATTTTGCCATTGAGAAAATGTGAATAAGAATAAATAATGGGGAGCTTATATATCGAATGGGTATAGCGGGCACACTGACATAAGTGGAGAGGGCCACAAGATTAAAATCACTAGGGGGAATATTGTGAGGTATAAAGACTGGAGCAAGTGAGGTAGAATTAATAGCAATATTAGATGGGCAAAGAAGAAAATCTTTCTTCAGAATAGAATGTATGTTATAGATAGGCCTATTACATTCTTTGTCTATCCTGCAGAAGATTAAATTTATTTTTTAGGGAATTATTTGCATCCAACATTATTTACCTTGTTCAGTAAAGCTGCAGTATGTCCTGTCATATATATATCTAGTAAATTGTGTCTGCTACTTGTTAAGCATATTCACTTTGCCACTCACTGTAGATGCATTGTTTGAAGTTTGACACTTAAGGCCTACCAAAACCGATATGCCTGGGCCAGACAGTCAATACAGTTTAGTATTCAAAGTTGGTAAGAAAGACCTCCATGTTAGAAATAACACACAAGCAATTGTATAGTTGCAAGAACTAAAAAAAACAAAAAACAAGCCCTATTTAGGTATGGTCAGGTCAAGGAGTTGAATAGTCAGAACACTATTAAAGTATGATAGGTTTGTTGAAGAAATTCAGACACCAAAATCCTAGAAGTTCAAGATGTATACATATATGTAGGTTGACATTTTAATGAAAATGAACCAAAATCTACTATTTTATGCATAAAAAGTAAAAATGAAAATGGGTATGTCCAAATTATGGTAATATATAGGCTTGACTAAGTCAGATGGTTTAAATACTATAAAGGCTGTGTTGACATACAGCTTTATAAACATAGAAATTCTACTAAGTTAACAAAGAAGGCAACCTTGTTAGTCTGTAGGTTTTGATGCAATATAACTAGTAAACTGCTGATTACGTTTTCATCCAGAATAGTATGTATTATTTGCCTGTTCTTTGTGATTTATATTTAATGAAACCTGCACATACACATTTGGTAACTTACTTCATGTACACCTATGGTGAGTAACTCATGATTCATGTTTTTATTTAATAAATATTCCACTTATACATATAATGATTTACTCTGTCCTTTTCTAATCAATGAACAGCAAGAAACGCAGTAACATTTTTATTAAAAGTATATCTGTGTTGCAGCTTAAAACTATGGATTGTGAATAAGATTTTGAAGAACAGAAATGTCTGGACTAGAAGAGGTTGGTATTCCTGGAAAGGAGTATCTTCGAGAAGCTCTGACTAACTGTTCAGATCCTCAGCGTGCTATAGAAGAATTTCAGGTGGAGAATGGAATTTTGTTACCTTCCCTGCGACCAATGCTTCCTCTACTAGATTTACATGGAGTGAGGCGCTTGGAGTTTCACCTTTCAGTCTTGGAAGAATTAAAAGAGAAACTTTTACAACAAATAGACAATTTAGGGAAACAGGAAGGCCGAGAAAAGGAAAAAAAGCTTAAAGAGTTGCTGCAAAAGAGTTTTCCTGTGATCAAGGCAATACAATAGTTTCTAACCTACTTAATTTTAATATACTACAGTCCATTAAGATAATTTTAGCTCATCTATCAACATGTTTCTAGAAATTTACATTTCAAAAGTTTTTAACAAAAATCTAACTATAAGTATTGTGTGTTTTTTCTATTTAAACAATAGAGATTGGAGTATCATACATGTATAAAAACCTAGTTTTACTTGTATGTCTACCATAATTTGGTTTTAAGTTGCGATTGAGATTATGTGATTTAAGTCTGAATTCATGAAAACATATCTTACAATAAAAATTTAAAAACTGAAACTAATACAGGTCTGCAAGTTTGTTATATTTTTCAGATGCTACTTATTTTGTGCATTTTTTGTAAAATCATATTGTCTTCATATATGTTTTATATAATAAGCCAGAGGGTTTGTTGATGAATCTTTTATATGCATCTACTGCTGGATTAGATGTGTTGGAATTTCTAGTGTTTGGTTTTGTGTTTTAACTAATTACTTTTTTAGCCATTTAAAAACGGCTTAAAAGGAAAAATCATGATGGAATACCTTTTGGTTATTATATTGTATAATTGATTTATTTCCTGTGTGAACTTAATAAAAATCTTGTAAATCATAAGGAATTTTACTTATGTCTTTTCACTTGTCATCCAACTGCATTCTAACCTTTCAAACCTTCCAGAAAAGGCTTTCCAAGAGATTGTGTGTTACTGTATATAGCTATATATAACTTTTATAAACACATCAGAAAGATTTTTCACAGATGATTTAGGCTTTGTTTCCATGATGTGAGAAGGATAACTATGGGCAGTTTTGGAAGCAGTGAGTCCTCTGTACTGAAGAGTTGGTGGGCAAAAATGTTTTGGATAACTGATATCAAGATGGTTAGCATTATGACTATACTAACCAATTAGATACCATTAGCTCTAAAGACAAGTTCTGGAAGTTATCTGCAATGCTGGCACCCACTAACTATCTCATTCAGTGCTTCCAAAGCTGTTGAACTCCATAATCAACCTTCTTTAATCTTCAGAAAAACCATTTGGAATTATGATTTTTTTTTTCATAATTTAAGCATATTTTTGTTTCTTTAATTTAGTGCATGATTTACGTGATGTGGGATTTAGTATGGAAATGTAAGACATCTTTTTGCAAAATATATTATTTCAGGTTCCAACACTTCGTCCAGTGGTTATGTGTATTCTCAAGAACTTGGACAGAGTAGAAGACAAATACTTGAAGCAGCTTGTTGCAGATAAAGAGTTGTATGAAGCTTGTGATATTCAGGTTAGCTTTACTGAATAAGGCCCCAATTTTAGTTTCATACAAGCAACTTGTCAGAAATATTATTAAGGACACACAAAAACAGAAAATAGCCATGTTTAATATAGTTTTTAGTTTGTCAACCAACACCTGATAAGCATTTTTCAGAAACAAAGGAAGAATGTACTTCTTTTGGAAACAAATTGACTCAGTTGTAAATGAACTTACATAGATAGCTTACTTTTTAGTGATATATGCTTATAACTATGGAAAAACTGACCTGTCCAGTGGATAGGTAGAGTTAAAATTTTACCTATCCTACAATAAAACCCATCTGTTTCTTATTTTAGGGTTGAGTGTCAGAATACAGACAGCTCTGCCAGTCATTGTCTTGGTTACTGCTGGTTCCAAAACAACACTACCTCCTTTCACCCAAAGCTTTCTCGATCCTGTTTTGCCCTCTAAGCATTGCTAAAATAGTTTCACTAATAGTGCACCAGTCTCTTGTATTCCTTCATTTTTGTGCCATTTCAGAACATGTGCTGATTATATGACTACCCTCCAACAATCATACTGCACCATCTATATAAGTGCAACTAGCTCCTTTGATTCTTCTAGCACAATCCTCACTTTCTCAATTAGCATTCTTGTGTATATAGAGTGTCTTTTAACTCATTCTCCATGTGACTACAAAATTTTGATTGGGCTTAATCACAATATTATATCAGTTTCAACTTTAAGTTTATACTTCTTGTGTTTGATTTCCATTGTTTCTACTCATTTGTTTGAGAAATACTTCTGTTTTTCAAATTCTACTTTGTTCATATGAATTTGAGATTTAATATGGGGGATGATGAAATTAGTGTTAGTAGACAATGGTTCTGACACGAGTCCCTAGATATCATAGTCGACGAGGTCTGCTGTGGAAGCAAACTTTAATTTGTGGGGTGTTTGGGTTTTACTTTCGGCCAATGATCTCTTCTTTGTGTGAGGAAGGTTATAACTACTGTGTGGAAATTTCTTTCTGTGGCACTTTCCACCTGTTATCACGCTTCCATCTGCTGGGTTAGGTATTGTTCTTTTTCTCAGGAGATCCATGGTAAGTTTTTCAGTGTGTATTTCTCACTCCCAGTTAAGTGAGTTTTTGAGCACTTGTGTGGATGGACCTAATTTCTGCACTTGAGCAAGTGAAGGCACTGGAGCAATATTCTCAAGTCTTACTAGTGCCTCTTGCAGCTGGCTTTTGAAGTACTATGTAGATGTGTTATACATATTGATATTTCATAATTTTAACAGTAACTTTTGTTAATTTTTATTCTGGCAGTTGAGAGTTGTTATTGACACCAAATGTGAAAAACTCCTGGTTCAGAACAAAAAGTTAAGGAAAAAAATTATCCCATATGGATTGAAATGTGTACCTGTAACATTCCAGTAATAAAACTCTTTATTGACATTTGCATGTAAGTTGTACAAGGTGATGAAACATTTAATTAAATCAATTCAACCCTTTGTTTATTATTTCTACTTGGAGGGGTTGCTTTACTGAACAACTTCCTGCTGAGGATGTAAAGTTGTGAATTATTTTAATGATAATATTGAATCACTTAATAGTAAGAGTTAAAGAAAATATTTAGTTTTTTTCAGACTATTTATTGAATTAATATTCACCTGTACTGACAACACATAAAGTTTGAAAACCAACAATCTCAGAAGTACTATTCTTTGAGGGTTGTACAGCTAATTTTTTTAAAATATTTATTTACAGATTGCTTTATTTTTTTGTGTTTTCAATTTTGGTGTCAGATTTAGCTACTCAGATAAAGTCATTGTATCACTAGTCCCAGGGCAAGGTTCATCCTTGTGTTTGCTTTGCATGTACATGTAAGTATAAAGTGAAAGTTTTAAACATTTTGATATTTGTGTTCAGCATTTGAAGTGAAAAATCGAATACTTTCTGGAATATGAATAGACTAAACAGGTACACAATAGGAAAGAGAATCTAAGAAAGTTTTTACATAATATACTAAATGCTTCTATTGATGTATTCCAGTAATTTATATGTTACAAAATACAAACAAAAATATTGATAATATTACATGGAAAATAACACTTAAAATATGTATTAAAAACTTGCAATATAGAAGACAGTGCATTAATTTATTTCCACAGAATTTGTTGTTAAATTGGATCTCCATACTATGCTAAATAAAATAAGTTACTAATATATTTACTACACAAGTTACTCAAAATAAATAATTATATGACAATAAGAAGGATTTAGCTTCACAGATGATCAGATTACATGGATGTTATGATTAATGGATTTAACTTAAAATAGTGAAATTTCAGTCATTTTACTGTAGTTATTCAACAGCTGGTAAATTTTTCTGTCAAGACAGTGAAATATAACTCATATATTTATCATTTACCAACTGTGTGTAACCATAAAAGCACATCACAGGATTCATTTTATTTATCAGGTTAAGCGACAGATCTGGCGAGAAAATCAAGCTTTGTTTGGTGACAAAGTGTCTCCACTTCTTAGTCAGTACATTAAGGAAAAAGAGGAGTTACTGTTTAGCCACAATGATCCCAACACTACCTTTTTCCAGCCATCACCTAAACAACGACGACAGGGCGAGGTGATTCAGAAACTTCTAAATATGATTGGCCACCATGTTCAGTTGTATGATATGGTCCTTCAGTTTTTACGAACCTTGTTTCTTCGTAGTAAAAATGTACACTACTGTACACTTCGAGCAGAGCTTTTGATGTCACTTCATGATTTAGAGGTATGCACCATTTTTGTATTTAAATTACAGTGAGTTTGTAAACTGTAAATATATTAGAGTTCAAGGTTGCCTTTTTTTCCATTAGATTCAGGAAATAACTTCTGTAGATCCTTGTCATAAATTCACCTGGTGCCTGGATGCTTGTATTAGAGAGAGAAATGTTGATATTAAAAGATCTAGAGAACTACAAGGATTTTTAGATACTGTGAAGAGAGGACAAGAACAAGTTATAGGGTGAGGATGTTTCCTATATCATTTTTTAATTTGGGATATTTTATTTTAATATGAAAGACTGTTTAATAATGTTCATGACCTTTCCAGTATGCACTACAAACACTTAAATATCAAACAATCTGTATTTTATAAAAATGTTTCTTATAATGTTTGTGGTTTAAAAACATACTCAGGCATCAACTTTATAATTTTGTGGAAGACTAAAGTTCTCTACAATAATTAACAATTGGTTGCATTATGTAGTGACACTGGAAGCAAATTTTTATTTCTTGACATAATGGATGAGTATTGTTGTGTTTGTTATTTGTAGAAAACTTCATTATACAGGATAAAATGTATGATCTTATATTGATGAATTGACCAAAAATATCTTATTCAAATAAAGGACTTTCTTTCTGTTGTTACTATATCTCTTGAATTTTTCCAAGATCATACTATCATAATTTGTACATTTTGAATACTCTTCCAGTTTTAGTGATTAATGTTTCATTCATCAAGTTTTTTTTCCTATACTTTTAAACACAATGTCTTAGAGTATGATTCAATTATAATTTACCAACTAAACGACTTAAAAGTCTCCAATGTGATATTTCCTGTGTGTTCTTCTATATTTGAACCACTAGACTGAATTTTGACTTACCTGGTAGGACCTACAGTGAATATTTGTATACCAGCTAGCAATTCATTTTCACTTCTTTATTTTCACCCTTTCAGTGTGAGTAATAGAAATTCATGTCTTTTATGTATGGTTTTTATTTATTCTTATAATTTTTCAAAGTGTAAACATTTATAAACTTCTCAGCCTAGCCTAACACAGACACACATGTCTGAAATTACACTAGCTTGAGCAACAGTGTGGAATATGACACTAGATCACTTGCTGTTATGATAACAATTTGTAAAAGAAAATGAAAGACTGGTCCTGAATCAAACAAGCAATAAAGAAATACAAACTTCATTATAAAGTTAAATCTGTCATCATAAACTTTTGTTTTCCTCACAGATTAATTACCATCTGCCCCATAGTAGGGTAGTTTATGTTCCCAAAGTTATTGAGTTGAATATTTACACTTTTTTAATAAATAGCAGTGTTTTATACTAACAAAAATATTATTTCATTGTTTATCTCTTACAATTAACAGTGTTATATGGAAGAAAATATTCTTTTTTGCTTTTATCTTATTTATTATCTATTCTAAATAATACTCATATCATTCTTTAAACTATAAATTTTCTGTCATAGTTTTTTTATGTTGATTGATTATCTTAGCAAGTTTTGGTTGCCACATAAGTTCTCCATGGTTAACTAAGTGGCTTCTGAGTAGGATATTGATGTTTTACATTATTTTAACGTATTCCTTCTTAGTGACCTTGCTATGACTCTTTGTGACCCTTATGCTGTGAATTTTTTGGCAACTTCTGCCATGAAAATACTGCATCACCTTGTCAACAATGAAACTTTGCCAAGGGTTAGTTGTTTCTTACAAGTGACAATAGTCATATTATGTGTATATATATTTATATAGTAAATTATACATGTTAATATACAAATGACATTAGTCAAAGTATGCATGTTTGCCCCTAATGAAAAAATATCCACCATTCAAAAGGACTCAGGTTATAGGGTTTTGTATTTATTTTCTTTATGTATATTATACATTATAATATTATCAAATGTAGCATGACATCCAGCATTTTTAGTTTACACTTAGTCAAGTACATAAGTTTATATTCAGTGTACAATATATACCATTTAGTGAGTTTTATTGTAGTCCTGAAAGGTGTACCAAGACACCATCAATTGATGTTGAACTTTGTTACATCCCAGGTATTGAAGTGTCCATGTTTACATTTAGTATGCTATACATCAGTATTTAGTTTGTGTTTTAATGTTATTATGAAATGTACCAGAATATGAGTAGGTTGGTTTTTGAAAAGCTAGTTATTTCAATGAATATAAGATAAATTTGTTACTAATTCATTACACAGTTTGTATATATGAGGCATACACATAATGCTGTGTACATGTAGTAACTCAAAATGTCACTTTAAGCTAAGAATGTCATATAAAATCATTAAAGTTTATACTTGGTTTTTATATTTTGAGTTTGAGTCTGTCAATGGTACACTTTATTCTTAAATATATATATATGCATATTTTAGGATACAATTCTAGATTTGTTCGGATATGAGATATTCTGTGCATTAAAGGAGTATTACCCAGATATTAAAATGTGAAAATTGTGAGGATCAATTGAAATAATCAACATTCTGAAACACACTTACCTTCTCCCACACTTTAGCTTTAAGCAAACTTTGTAATTCATTGCTTACTGCATACTTTTCCTTTGGCTGCATTGTAAATTGCAAAATTATTTACTGTACAATATTGTGCATACATAGCATGGATTGATGATTTACCAAACTTGATGCTCCAAATAGTATGACCGTAGCATGGGTCAAGTCTATATTAAAGGGGGAGTATGTTGGCATTCTTTGTGCATATTTGTATTGTTTTTAATTATATCAAACAATCAATACAAGGGTTTAAGGTCCTGGAAGTAATCATACCTAAATTTCCTTTCGTTGAGTTTGTTTGAAATTGAGTACAAAGCTACCCAAATGGCTCTCTGTGCTTTGCCCACCATGAGTACTGAAACCCGGTTCCTAGCGTTATAAGTCCTTACAACATTTTTTAAAGTATGAAAACAATCAGGGAGATTATCCAGTTCTTCCAGAATAAACTTTTGAGTAGAAACACTTTATTTTATTTATTTCAATAAGAAATTAAAGTATTTAAACAATAAAAATGATATTTAATATAATGCCACCTAGCACAAACTAACTAAACAAAAAATGGCGCGATAGGCTATTATTGTTGTTTTGTTAATCAGTATCTGTAATTCTAAAATCGTAAATTGTGTATATTGTAACACTTGTAATATAGAAATATATTTGTCAATAATTCATGATAAGAAATTATAGGAACCACAGTAGTTAATTGTTTTTTTTTTTAATAAAATTATATACTCGAATGCAACTGGTGAATGTTGAATGTCCATTGGTGTACGGTGACAGCGTAACTTGTAAGTGTAATGTTTATCAATTAAACCTGTCATAGGAATAAGACTGTGAATTATATTTTAATGGTAAGAGTGTGTCTATTTAATGGATGCTGTCACACCAAGAGCTGTTAAATTATTTCTATCCTAGACTCAAGTTCTTTCAAATATACATTATACTATAGTTTGAACAACCTATTGACATTATAAACAACCAGCTAAATGTAAGTTGCATATTCGTAATTATTAGTTTATAGTTGAGCAACATATCTGAACTAAAGTTCATCAGTCTAAACGCGTAAAAGCCTATATTTATAAAGTATAATGCAGAAAGGTAATTTTTATCTGTAACTTAAGTATGATAAGTAATAATAATATCTAAATTTCTTCTTCCACCCTTATTCAGTAATTGTTTGTCCAATTAAAAATGATAGTATGAAAAATATGCTATATAGCCTCACTAATCGTATATGAGAGACTGACTTGACTTCTGAATTAAAATTATCTATAGGTAATTATAGGTCCAATTATTCTCTTACTACTAATACTAGTCTAAGTAACTGAGTTATCACAGCAGGTGAAGGTTTTACGCTTGTATTACTATTAGCAATCATACAAGGACAAGCCACAGAAGATCTTGATTCAAAGAAAGCTAATAATATTCATTATAATAAAACTTGAACAAATTAACTGCAGAAAGCAATTCTACATTTTAAACTTAAAAAGTAAACTTTTTTTTTTATTTGCATCTAAAATTACAACTAACACTTCACTGAAAAAATCAACAGCAAAGAGCAAACTTGAAACATACAAATTATACTATAAGTATAACTTGTTACTTATAGCTACATATTTGCTACTGATTAGCACTTAACCAAGAAGCAAAACCAGGTCTACGTTATGTTAAAGATTAGTTGATAGCCAGCATGTGTCTTTAAAGTTTAATTCCTCTAGCCATATAGTTTTTCAGTGGTGAATACTTCAAGTGCAAATGAAGCTTTTTGTTTTAATTCTAACAATCCTTTGGATTACTGAATTTTTGGACCATTTAATGATATGGCCAAATAACCTGTGCCAAAATTATTTTTATAATAACATTCAAAGTACTATTTGTAGCTTTAAAAATCTAAAGTCATTGTCTAGCTTTACTTTCAAAAAAGTAACATAAAAACGCTATTTGCGCTCTGTTCACCTTTAGTAAAATCGAACCAAACATTTTTTAGCATTATAAGTTTGCAAAGTTAGTGCTGATTCACGTGGATAATTAAAAGCTAAAAGAGGCACTGAAATGTATTTATTTTAATATTAAGGGATTTTTTTTCTTGTTTCTATATATATATACGTTTCGTTTATTTTTAACTTGTTCTTAGTTAAGTTGTGAGTTTGTGAATTATTTTAAGTACTGAGCGAGTCCGAATTCATGAGTAATTATTTTCCTGTAAAAATGTGAGAAGAAACAATTTAGATCAGAGGTCACCAAACTACGGCCCGCGAGGTCAGTTCATCCGGCCCGCCGCTGCACTGTGCCACAAATGAGCTAAAATATA